TAAGGCAGTTCTGAAGCAAAAGAGGCATATATATAGCGTACTGACCCTTACTGTGAACTAAAAATTTGATCAAAGTGATAATGTAAGGCAAGCTGTTGTTTCTATTTGATTGTCATGTTGGATCTGGTTAGGACACTGTGTAGCATATTGGGAAGCAATCTGATCCAAGATCGACCAGTACCCGTTGGGCTAAATGTAGTATCTAGGCCTGAAGATTTCCATGCTGTCTCCAGGCCAGTGACAAGGCTATCCCTGTCCTACCCAATTCAGTCACACTAGCAGACGGTGGCCAGTGAACCAGACGCTCCTTTTTTCGGCTTTCTGAACAGGGGAACTGTAAATGGACACAATGAGGACTGACAGCAGAGAGGGATCTCTGGACAGGGAACGGTGTGTATGCATATGTGTGTGCGCGTGTTTGAGTGTGCATAACTGCTTTGCCCGTCGCTCGAAATGTGCGGTGACATCACAGATGGTCATGCAGTTCCCCTGTCAGCTGTCCAAAATGGGAAGGCAGGATGTGATTGATGGAGCATGATGCTTCTCCAGTATGCTACGCTGACCTGGAGTCAGTTCCTCTGAGGCTGCCTGGAAAGGAGGTTCTGTCTGACTCCAGCACAGCTCAGAGACATATTGGAATCTCAGAGGTCCACTGAATTCGGTCAGTGTGGTTCAAATGGAAAAAGATATCTCAGATTCAGCACAGAAAAAGGTCAGTTATCGACTCTTGAGCAGCAAACATGTTATTGAGAGGTCTTAAGCTAAAAGATTAGGCGCAATATCTGAAAACAAAATCTATTCCAGAAAACCAATTTAAACTCTAGAGATTTTCGCACTTCAAATATTTAACCCTGGGTTGTATTTAATTACAAAAAAAAGAATTCTTGGTTATTGTTTGCACTGCTTATAATTAACCCAGTGTTTACAATAAATCCTGAACATTAAAAATGTTACATTTCCAACATAACAATCATAAACCCCATGCTTAATGTCAATATTAATAATATATCAGATTTTTTTTTCTTATTTTTTCAAAGTGGTTTACAAATGAGAACAATAGAAGTAACAGTTCCAATGAGCCAGCAACAACATGCAAGTGCTTTGGCAAAACTCAGTAAGTCTAACCTAGGTATTTCTTCTTGATAAATTATTTAAAACATTTGACAAACGGTCAAAGACTTGGGTTGAGCTGAGCAGGTCATTCCACCAGCCGAAGCAAGTAAAGTTCAGTGAAAGTTTGTTGTGCCTTTTTTGTAATGGTACCACAATGCACTGTTCATTTCCAGAGAGAGCACAATGGTAGTGAGTTTAGATATAAGGGTGCAGAGCCAAAGGTTGCTTTACCGGTAAACATCAGTGCCTTGAATTTGTATTCTTGTGAATTGGTATTTGCCACCAGCGCAAAAAAAAAAAAAAAAGAATAAATAAAATATTAATAATAACAACAGAGGTGTGATGTCCACTCTCTGCCTTATTAAAGACAACTCTTGCTGATGCATTCTGGATGAGTTGCAGAGATTTGATAGTATTGGCCGTAAGATCCGCTGAGAGAGAACCAGAATAATTCAGCCAGGGCAGAACAGCTTCTCCACGATGAACGTCCAGCGTTCTCCGGCCTTCGGCACCTAGATTGCAGCTCTGCACAAGAAGTTTGGCCAAAGGAGAAATGTTAGTGCCCAACTGAGCCTGGTTTCTCTCAATGTTTTTTTTTTTCCTTCACTTTAGTCAGTTGGTAAAGTTTGTTCCTTGCTGCTATTGCCACTTGCTTGCTTGGTTCACGACTTGTGGAGCAGCGAATTCGATGTATTTGCTCTTCAGTGTTTAAACTTTCAGCAGTGAAAATTAAACCACACCTAACTAAACTAAACTGAACTTCAACTCTGAAAACTGGACTGACACTGTATCAATTTACAATAATATTTTATGTTAAGCTGCGTGGACACAATCTACATTGTAAAATCGCTATAGAAATAAAGATGAAAAAAAAACAAGATCTAAGACAAGGAGTTGTGTAGCATGCTTTGACAGAAAGGGTCTAATTCTCCTAATGATGCATATTGCGAATTTGCAGAACCAGACAGTTCTAACAGAGTAGTATTCAGTTCTTCAAGGTAGAATAGTATTGTAGTATTTCAGTGACTTCAAGGATTGGGCTGTTGTGGAACAATATGGCTGATGCACCTAGCTGGATGAACCATTAGACTGGACAAAACCACAATAAGTTCTGTTCTGAGGTGATGGTCTTTCATTTAGCAAGAGATGTCTGTCAGGTAAGCTGAGATAGAAGCACCTACTGTACTGTCCAATCAATATGATGGCATAAGAGGTAGAATTCATTCTCATCAGCATACAAGTGATATGAAAAGCCACACCTCAAAATAAAAGATTCTACTGATGATGGGGAAGAGAAGATCTGAGTCTTGAGGCACCTCCGTAGTTAGATGCTGACACCCTGAGGACAGCTAAGACTCAAATCACAGGAGTGGAGTTCTTGAGATGCCTTTTGTCATGACGGGTGACAAGAATCTGAAGTTCAAAAAATTGCAAGTGTAAAAATATAAGTGTGACCTTAGAGGAGTATGCAAGCTCAGTCCTGGAGAGTTTTGCTTCATCTCTAACCATACACGCCTGAACAAGCTAATCAAGTTCTAAGTCTTAAGCTGCAGTCAGACCGCCCTTTTCGCCCTATAGACTTTCAATGATACAGATGCATCTGCGACAGATTGGAAATGGAAGCTCTTGTAACAAGTTTCACATTTCGATGCATTCGAAAGATTGGTGAACTCTGACCTGCGAAATCGCATTATGTGATTGCATTAGACCAATAGGAGATCAAAACGTGACCTCTCTGTACAGAAATGTAAAATATGGAACAATCACTTACTTTTATTTTCAATTTCAATTTAATTCAGCTTTATTTGTATAGCGCTTTTACAATGTAGATTGTGTCAAAGCAGCTTCACATAAATGGTCATAGTAACTGGAACAGTGTAGTTCAGTTTTTAGTGTTTAAGTTCAGTTCAGTTCAGTTTAGCTCAGTTCAGTGTGATTTAAAATCATTACTGAGAGTTCAAACACTGAAGAGCAAATTATTCTATGCGTAGCTCTACCAATCCTGAACCATGCGAGCCAGTGGCGACAGCGGAGAGGGAAAAAAAAAACTTCACCTGATAGGAGTGAAGAAAAAAAACCTTAAGAGAACCAGACTCAGTTGTGCACGACCATTTTAATTTCTCCGCTGGCCAAAAATAAATAAATAAATAAAAAAATCAACATCCAATCATATCATTTTATCCAGCCTCTTCTCACAAGCACAAACTCTGTGTGACCATGGAGTTCTTACGACTGGATCAAAAGGACTGAGGCTCTACAGGGCCAAACGTGACTATCACCGCCTTAGGGCAAACCGATACATTTTTTCTAATTTTTACATTTTTAATCTCATACACCGTTTTAAATGTTTACAATTCAACCATGAACATATATAATTAAAACAAATCCCTCGCTCTCAGATTTGAATACTAAGAAAAAACACCTCTCATGTGTCCACTCTAGAGTTTCAGAAAGAGATCATTACAACATCAGAAACCTAGCCTACAGCGACAAGAGCAAAATCTGCAAGGAAGGTCAAAGACTTCAAAACAGTTCAAGCCTTGAGTTTTACATAAATACTACAACTCTATATTTATCCTCTACATCAGGGGTTCTTCTTCGTATAATGGACCAAACACCAAATATTATAGAGAGCTGTAGGGACATTAAAGTTGCCATGGGTAATTTCCAAATTATTTCATAATGTTTAAAAATAAATAAAAACATTACTATAAATCATATAACTAATGCAGTATAACTTTTAAAATGATAACTTATTGCAATAAAAACATAACAGTGAACAGTGTTCAATGCTTAATACACTAGTTAAGAAGAATCTGCCTTTGTCTTGATTTGTTCACCAAAGTCTGTGCATTGTCCTCCATCCATCAGGTGACAGTATGTACATTTAAACTAAATCTGATTAAATAACTATATTTAATTGAAATATTTAATTTTAAATAGCTTTTAACAATAAAACAAACAAAATGTAACATTAGATCTCTAAACCAGGGTTTTTCAACCTTTTAGGAACACATGCCCCCCCAAGTTTGGTCAATTTCACTCGCACATGCCTCCCCCTCCCCACCCCCCTCCACCAAGCCAAAATTATAATGCATGTGCAAACATCATTCACATATTTCTTGCTTTGTTTAGCGTGCGTAGCATTAATTACATTGAAACATAAATATGTAGCTTAACCTATTCAGTTGTGATGCCTGAGCCTGTTTCTATGAGAACAACATGGTTGGATTAAACCATCATCCACTGTCAAAAATCAGTGAATCAGTGATTCAAAAAATAAATAACTAAATAAAGAATGCAAAACAATTTTTACCTTTTTTAAAATCAACTTGTAATGAAGGTTATTTTACTTCTATTTTAATAAATTATGCCATAAAGGACATGGAAACACTGCAAAGTATTGTGCTATAAACTCTACTGACTGAACAAACTCTGATGCAAACTTAGACTGATAGGAGAGAGCTGTGTTCATGAAATTTGATACCACTCATCAAATAAAAATATATATATATATATATTTTTTTTTTTCTGGAGGGCATAAATGATGACGGGTGTGTGTCTGTGGTGCTTTACTGACTCGGAAGATGCAGGGAATCCCTTATTCCCCAAACTCCTTACTCATTATGTGTTGCATACTAGGGTACGTTGGTCTACCTTGTCCATTCGTAGGCTCAAGCCTTGGCATATCTTTGTTCACAAATCTATAATGGGTTTACTCCCATCATATCTCCAGAATTACATTTGTAAAAAAAAAAATAAAATAAACTGTCCTTACCTATAGCCTTCGGTCACAGGATATTTATTTACTCTCTGTTCAGATTCTGTAGCCCGAGATCCCATCACATCCCTAGTGTCTAACCAATTTTTTTTATTCCCCCACATAGGTCCTTTGCAGTACAGTAATGCCCTGTCCTTTCTCTACCGCCTCAGTCAATAAAGAGTGGCAAAAGCTTCTATAAAGTCACTAAAAGTGGAAAACACATTAATCAACCAAATTGACCAGCATGTCGTGCTCGGCAGGTCCACATCACACGTCTGCTCTCTCATCTGGGGTTGTCATCTGTAATATCCCCCCGGCACACTGACCGACGCTGATATCCACCCATCAGTCCGGAGCAAATGGCTTGTGCATCACAGGCACAGTGCGGAGAGCGTGCAGTGAGGAGAAATATGTTCACTTTCACTCTTTGCTGTCCTCAGCAGCCACCTTATCAGATCAAACAGCTGAGAAACACAGCTATGACTCAGTGACCACAGTGTGTCTGTATGTGTTTATGTGTGTGTGTGTGAGTGTGTGTTTGGGGGGGGGGGTCTATCTGCTTCCTGGGGCCCTGGAAACATATTGGTTACGTTAGATATGGGAATGCACACTTCCCCACACAGACACACACACACACACCAACGTATACTTTGAAGAACGAACACACACACCTAACAGAGTCAGATATGCCAATACCGCATGGATCAGCGGTGCCTTATCCTGCTTTGTCCAACAGCAGCTCGGCGTCAGATATCATATTACTGACTGACTCCAGAGACATTCGCGAGGTCAGTGGATCAGAACTTGATCGATACTGGGAAAGGAGATACAGGAGGTTATATTAAAGTGGACAGAATTAAATTAAATTGGAAAATACAACTGAAAGGCACATAAAACCTCCATTTCCCCCTCAGTGACCGGTCTGTACCTGCAGATTCTCTTTCTCTCTTGCCTTTCACTACCATGCACTAAACATAGCAGACTTTGTGGAGCAGTGTATGGCACAGAAAACAGAACTTTATATAATAAACGTCAGTATTCAACACTGATATCAACATTTTAGAATCATGAACATGGGTGTGTATAATACTAGTGTATGTTATGTATGGCTTGTTAAGTAATAAACTATTATTTCTTTTATATAACAATTTTTATACAGGTCGAAGATGAAACATTTAATTTTGGTGTCTAAATAAATTAATCAAATTAAAATGAAAAAAAAAAAATCTATCAAATTAAAATGACAATGTATTTGCAAAAAAAAAAAGTACATGCAAAAAAAGTTGGGTCACTGTGGAAAACGCAAATAAAAAAATTATGTAGTAATTTTCTTAACTTGTTTTTCATTGCAGACAATATAAAAATATAAATAAATATACATCATTGCCTGCCTTTCAGAGCTGCAACACATTCCAATATTAGTTGGGACAAAGACAGCATCCAAGAAAGTTCTAGTACTTTAGGAGCAAAGATGGGCAGAGGATCGCCAGTTTTCCAACAAATACATGAGACAATTATTTAAATGTTTAAAAACAATGTTCTTCTAAGCTAAACAATGTGGTTTCTGATACCTCACTGCATCAAGAATTATCATTCATCTATAAGAGATATCACCACATGGGCTTAGGACTACTTTGGCAAATCTTTGTTAAACACCAAAATACATATTTAGTTACATCCACAAATGCCAGTGAAAACTGTACTGTGCTAAAAGGAAGCCCTATATTAACAGTGTCCAGAAGTGCTGTCAACTTCTCTAGGCCTGAAGGCATCAGGGACGGACCATCACACCATGGAAGTGGAAGGATTTTTTGGGGGGAGAAATGAACGCTGTGTGCTCAGATCAAAGAAGAAAAGGATCATCCAGACTGTTACCATCAAGTTTTTAAATCCAAAAGTCCTGTGTTTTTAATATACCAAAGATAAACGCTAAATATGTATTCTACTGGCCAAGTTGGTAGATCTAACAGTGTAAAAAAATACTTCAAAGATTTAATAAAGTAATCCAATTTTAAAAAGCACTCCAGTCATCCCTTTATAAATTAAAAATAGATTAATCTTTATTAAATCTACAAATGATATTCGATCTTGAAACATGCACAAAGAATGTGTTCAAGTCTATCTTGTAATTTGACCACCGCAAAAATGATCTCTTGCAGTGTTGCTATTTAATAGAAGGAATACAATGAAGATGGAGCCTGACATTAAGCAACGCACTGAAGAATGTCAACAAGTCTGCTTCTGAGTGTGCGACCAGCATGACACCAAAAACCACTGTTTCTTTGGTTACCTCTTCTCTAATCTCCACAAAGGATTTGTTGATTCCCGTAGCTGCAACTTATACAAAGTCCAGACCTCCTGATATTTAAATTGATTGGTTAGATATTGATTAAGCTGGCTGCTCCAGGTGATGTATGTGCTCGTCTGCACGCTGAATCTCTCCTGGGGCGCCATCAGACAGCACAACAACACAAAACAAACAACGTGACCTGCCAGAGAGAATAACATTCCACTAAAAACTCAGACTAGAGAAGAACCTCCACACCTGCTGTTCCTCATCCAGGAAAAAAAAAATAAAAAAAATCCAATTATGTGCCGACAAGTAAACGTTTCAGCACTTAAGAGTGGATTGATAAGAGGCAAGAGTGATAGAGGGAGAAGGAAATAGAAGAGAGAGAGACAGAGAGAGAGAGAGAGAGAGAGAGAGAGAGAGAGAGAGAGAGAGAAGGCTCATTTGCACAATAATACAGTTAGTGAGGTGATTTTAAAATAAGAAAAGCCCATTAACATTTAAATGACTGCAATGAGTTTCCAAATTAAGCATTTTTTTGCAATCCTTCAGCTGGATCGGATCAGTCAGGAGGAGGATGAAAGGCCTGACTGTGCACTGCTGGCTCCCTTTGGCCTGTTTTTAGTCTGGCGTACACTTGTTTAGGCTTAAAGACCGAACCAGACTGAAGCCAAAGTCGGTCCGTTTGCTTTACTGTAGAAATAAGCTTAAATGCTAAAATTATAGACTGGAAATATCTGAAATTTCCATTTATTTGTTTATTTATTTATATAAAGTATATTTTTGATGTGTATAGCTCACCCAGACATGAGATATTTGCCATCATTTACTCATCTATACTTACTTGTTCCAAACCAGTTTTGGTTTCTTTCTTCTGTGGAATGCAAAAGAAGATATTTTGAAGAATGTTAAATAACCACTGACATCTATGGTAGGAACTATAAATGTTATGGTCCGTGGGAGTTGTATGAATTTTTGTCACTTTGTCGCGCTCTCTCCCTGTCTGTTATTCACTCTTGCTCTTACCCTATCATCTTTTGTTCCGCTATTTTCACCTTCACAGGTATTTGCTGATTGGATCTCGAGCTAGTCTCTCCTCATTAGGGTGCTTCCTCGTGAACCAGGATCAGCATACCTGTCAACATTGGGACGTGAAAATAAGGGATATCCCCGCTCCCCTCCCTAAACATGTTCATCTGGAGCCGTTTCATTGTAAATAAACAGTTTAAGTGGTCAGTAATATATATTTATATGTTTTTTCTTTTTAAATCATTATTATTTTACTATTATTTATAAAGGATAGAATTAACAACATACATTAGCAAAAGCTGCAAATAAAATAAACAGTTTAGAATATTAAAATGAATAGCTATTATAAAGAAATTGAATCAAGAAATTTCATTAATCTTTTCTTCACTGTATAATTGAACAAATCTCTCATTTAGATTCTCATTTGATCACATTAAATAACAGAGCTGTCACTTTAAAAATGCTCAGATCTTTAATGAAAGCATTTGATTGCTTTCCTAACATTTTTCCTAAATGCTCATTTAAGACAAAATGTGTTGTGTTTAAAAGAAAACCCACCAAGATCAACACATTTAGATATTATTATTATTCTCATTATCATTATTATTATGTGTATATATATATCTGCTTAAACACGTACCCAAACCCCAAATGTCCACGTTCACTCCGCTTCAAATCGAGTGTACAGAATCCCTTTAGGAAACTTAATCTATTTATCACAATGGAGCGCATCTGACAGCACGTCATGCACCACTACATGAACTGACTGTTTTGAGGATTGCATAGGGGCAACTGCGCCTATAATGAAAAGAAAGGGAATCAATTTTATATGTATTTCAATGTGATTTTATGCCTAAATAAAATGAAAGCACTAAACAGTCTCATATTTAAGAGCAAGGGGCATCCCCTGGTGGTTCTGCAGTATGGGTTGCGTATAGGGAGAATCGGGTCTTTAATGTTTATTGCCACCCTTCGTAGAAAGACTGAAAATATGGGATAGTACCTTTGCGAGGTTATAGCAAGATAGAATTGTAAAATATGGGAGAATGCTCAGGAGGGTTGACAGATATTTAAATATGACCGGTATGCCTCGTTTGTTCATTGCTGTGTGTGCGTGAGTTTGCGTTGTGTATGCTTGCTTCTGTTTTTGTATTATGATTTCTTCCTTATTGTTTTTGAACTAATCCAAATATCTGTAGCCTCAATAGGGTTTAAGAGTTAATAAATTTTGTTTTTTGTGTAAAAGGGAATGGGTCAACAAGTCACATGACAACTTTTATCTGTAGTTATACGAGTATTCAGAAACATTAGGTAAATGGGTGAGCACAGCTTTTTGTATTTTTGTTTATTATTTAAGGGAGTGTATTTATTGGCATCGAATACACTAAAGATTTCAGTCTCTTTTTCACGTTAATATAATCTTTAGTAAGTTTAGAGGGGGATCTTGTGTTCTTATGTTTAGTTCTTTGCTTAGGCGCTACTCTAGTTCTACCCCCACCCTTCAGAACTTTTGGTTTGGTTTTATTTCTGATTGTTTCTATTTATTTCCAAAGGCACTGTACAAAGCTCATATAATGCTCTTTTGCTGGCTTTATCATATTTTCTCATGAATGAATTAAATAATTAAATGTTAAGATTGTTTGTCCTTGTTTATTTCCATCCATTTTCTTCAATCAAAATATATCTCAAAATCAAATATCATGAGTTACGTTTTTTCTCCAGAAACCTTGTTAAATCAAAACAATAAAAAACTAAACGGAAAAAAAACAAATTCCTCAAACTGTTTTGGGGTAATGGAAGGGTGAGAATGACAGAAATTTAATTTTTGGGTGAGCTATCCCTTTAAGTTCCCAAACAATATCGGTTTGAGAGGTCAACAATTTGCCAAGTCAGAGAAGATACTTTGAAAAAGACAAACCATAAGCAAATTACTCCTTATTGAGTTGTTTTGTTATTTTCAGTGAATTGACAAAAGGGTTTACAAAATAGTCAGCACTGATTTACAGCCATTCTAACCACTCTTTCTGAATCATCCAAAACAATTTCTTGGCACTGTAAGTAAAAGAGACAATATTGAGATACTTAAATAGATAGTGCACCAACAATGAAAATGGGTAATTGTGCTTTGATTTACAGTACATGTACTTACCTAAAAAAGTAAAGAGTAAAATAAGGTACCTGGGTTAGGGTGAGGTTTAGAGGTAGTTTCAGGTTTGATAAGTATATACACTCACCGGCCACTTTATTAGGTACAACTCCTGATAAACTATCAACTGTCCAACTGCTTTTTAATGCAAAATTGCCAAATCCCATGTCAGCAACACAATGCAGAGACAATCTGCTGCATCAGTATGGGGAAGAAAGGTGATTTAAGTGACTTTGAACATGGAATGGTTGTTGAGGTGGATGGGCTATAATTCCACACTGGGTGCCACTCCTGTCAGCAAAAAAACAGGAACCTGAGACTACAGTTCGCACAGGCTGACTAAAATTGGAAAATAGAAGATTGGAAAAATGTATCATCGCAGACGAATCATCTTAGACTGGGTTCTTGAACATGACAATAAATTCACTTTACTCAAATGGCCTCCACAGTCACTAGACCTCAATCCAATAGAGCACCTTTGGAATGTGGTGGAACGGGAGATTCACTTCATGGATGTGCAGCCAACAAATCTGCAGCAACTGCGTGATGCAGCGACAGCTCTGTAGGCAAAAGTAGGTCCAACCTGGTACTAGTAAAGTGTATCTAATAAAGTGGCCAGTGAGTGTAGTATGCGCCGTATATACCGAACTGGACCATAAAATACAATAAAGTAGTAACAAATT